TCGACCTCCAAGAGTGCTGGGATTACAGGGGTGAGCCACCATGCCCATCTGAGAAAGGCCTTTTTTAGTTAATTGTTCTAGATCTTTGTAAGCTTGTTCTATTCTTCGATTTGGGGAAATTTTTATTGTTATTTCTTGAAAATTTTTCTCCTTGCCTTTGTTAGTCAGAAGTTTGACTTTCTGGATTGTCCTCTACATTTTTTTCTGGTGTCACAGATAAGCAGAAAGGGTATTATCTTTCTCTTTTTTGTGTTATATCGGCGAGATTTTTGTACATTTATCATCTACTTGTACTGTTGAATTTTTTGTAAAATTCCGTTTGATGTTTAATTTCTTGTTTTTGTCTTTTCTCACAGAATCATGTTCTTACCAAAGTGTTGTCTTCTCTCACTTCTCTGGAGAGATACTTATTTTAATTTTTTTCTTTCTTTTTTGTGTGTGTTTCTTTTGTTCTTTGCATTGCTTTCTTGGGTCTCTTTTTCCATTTGTTTGGTTTATGCCTGAAGCTTTCTTCAGCCCTAGGTAATCTTTAACGATTTAAATTTCAGAGCAAGGCATTAAAGTTTATTTGGAATCTCTGAAACCTGGGTACGGCTTTTTGGCTTCCTTAAATATAATGATGTTAGGAACTAACCTCTTGGTTAGAGTACCTGCTATGTCAGGACTTCTGTTTGTTTGTTTAGTTTTCTGTGTATCAAATTGTTCATGCTACTATAACAAAATACCACAGACTGGGTAATTATACAGAATAGAAATTTATTTTACCACAATTCAGGAGGCTAGGAAGTCCCAGGAACCAGGTGCTGGTACATTCGGTTGTCTGGTGAGGGCTGTCCTCAGATTCCATGGGGGCACCTTGATGTTCAGTGCTCCTGAGGGGAGGAACACTGTATGCTCTTGTGGCTGAAAGTGGAAGAGCAAAAGGGACAAACTGTCTCTTTCAAACTGTTTTAGAATACCTAATCCTGTTCACGAGGGCAGAGCCTACATAACTCAGTGGCCTTGCAGAGGCTTACCTCTCAACACTGTTGGATTAGGGAGTAAATTTTCAACACATGGATTTGGGGGATACATTCAGGTCATAGCAATTTAGAAATCTTACCTTTTTGGGGGGGGGGTAGGAGAAGCCATTCAGTTTTTCCAGAAAAGACTCCTCTGCTTTCCTGCCTAGAAAATTATATAGCTCAAGAAGTAGAGTTGGGGGAGAAGACAGAACATTTCAGAGATCAGCATAGACCTCTCCCCTGTATCTCATGCCAGCCTATGTGCCTGGTATCCCCCATTCTGGAACTTCTATGGTCCAGTTTTTCCAAAGAATACAGTTTCTTTTCTCCCATGAGAGAAAGTAATGGAAGTGGTTAGTCATGTGGCTGTGTGGAACAGTGGGGATAAAGGAGAAGGCCCACAGGGTTCTGCCCTCTCCTCCTCCTACCTTTCACGGTAGCTGCCACTCAGAGCTGATCCTCACAGGAATTCTGTGGGCCTGATCCATTCCACCTTCACCTTTATGGCGCATGGCTGATAACTTACTTCCTTATACCCCTTTATCTCCTTTCTGTCTTGGAAGAGTTGATAAAAATATGCCCTGGCTAGCTCTCCCTTTCTTTTTCTTCTTATGGGTTAATACATTTACTTTATTCCTTTACTGTCTTTTAGAAGGATTGAGAAGGGAGAAGAGATAAACTAATGTGGCATGCATTTTCCTAGTCAGAGTATTACAAATGTTGATTAGGTGCTGAACAGTCCTATCAGCGCTGCTTTTCATGTATGTTCTTAGGGGTTAAGTAGGTTTTTGTGGGCTGACGTGAAAACCTAGCTACATCAATCATTTTCCTCTAGAATTAGAGGTATAATCAAGCCTTTCTGAATTGATTATCTGGGAGAATTATAACAGACTAGAACAAAAATATTTTATACATCTCTCCATTTTCTGAGTCGCAAAGAAAATTACTATAAATACTGCACTATCATTGTTGAAATAAAAAGCTCCAATAACTGTAGAGAAACTTGAATTTTAGTGGAAAAGTTTGTTCATAAAGTTAAAGCTATAAAAATTGAACTCTGAAGCAGAATTAAATTTTGAACCAGTGTCTCTAAAGCTTCATTTTCTTTTTTTGAAATCAGTTTTCCTAATTAAATTTAAAACCAGTTATAGTGGTAGCTGTGGGAAATACTACTGGTCATGGGAATAGTTTTAATTGTATTATCTTTTTTTTTTTTTGGCGTTGTTAGCTTGGGCACAACAGAATTTTCTGAAATACTAGGCTGAAAAAACTAGATTTAGCCAGATTGACTAATAAAATAATCTTCCTATCATGAAAGTCTGTGGATAGTAAAAGTGCAACCCAGAAGATATATAGTTTCCACAGAGTTCTGGAAAACAAATGCACCAACTTGGTGTTTGAATTGCGGAGCCCACTACAAGTGGAATAGATCCACTCACAGCCTGCAGCTGCAGTTTCCAGCCTTCAGCAAGGGCATATGGAGCTCTCTTCCAGAGGATCGCCCCTGTTGTTCTGGGGCAGCCTTCCATGAGCACTTGTTCCCCAGTGGCCGTGACTGCCCCAGTCTCAAAGGATCTCAGCTGGTTAGGAAAACTAGGAATGATGGTTGTAATCTCTCGTGTGGCTTGAACAAGGTAAGGGTACTGAAATGCTGTCATTCCATTGTTTTCCTTCCTTTTTAATTTTCTCTTTCTCTTTATTTTTCTTCTTTATTATTATTAGCCTCTCCTCTCAATTCCTCCCCCAGCCTTGCTTTTGACAGAATATTGACTAGGAACCAGAGGCCTATTTTTGCTTAGCCAAGGGCAGCTGTTTACACAGTAGCAGAGGTACATAGGTTTACTGTGTCGTATGTCTGTGTAACACTGGATTTGGATCTTGTATTTAGCTGCCAGAAGTGACTGTGATGAAGTAGGAGAGATAAACTGATAGATTGGCTGCCAGAAAGATGTTGAGAATCAATCAGATAAACAGGGTAGAGAAATAGCTTGCTGTTTTCTAGTGATAATAAACCAGTGGCTTCTGGTCTTTGCATTTTTAAACATAATTGCTGTGGTAATAATGTCCAAAATAAGCAAATGAAAAAACAGCACAGGAGGTTTTTTAATTGCGATTGAGATATCCTTTTCCCTTTTGCAATAAAGATTCATTGCTTGGAAGTGAGTATTTTTATAAATTTGTTTTACTTCTTCCAGTGCCTACTTACATAAACAAATGAAAATTAGAAAGTGAACTATTTTCAGAGGAATTTATTCCTCCTCCTTGGTCTCCCACAGGCTTTAGCTGTTTGACTTGGTGATATATCTGTATTGCTACCATGCCTTACCTACAAAATAATTGCTAATTTTTGTGAAGAAACAAGTTTTAAAGTACAACCTGTATTATTGACAGATAGTTAGCAGAAACTAGTTTATTCTAACCTCTTCCCTTAGATTTCTTTCAGGTTTGTAGAATTTTAATCCCTGTTGCTATTTCTGTGCATATAGCACTTGTAATTTTATTAATGTAATTTAAAATTCTCCTTCTTTAATATTTAACTTTTAAATTCATTTTCTCCTTTTCACCTAGGACTTTAAGTCCCAGTGCAGATTCTTAAGTCTGTGTGAAAGGTATATTTCTAGACGTCAGTTGGATGCACTGGAGTAAGGATTAAGAGGACAGTAGGAGAGTTCTTTTGTGTAACTCCCATGGAGTTATTTGTGTAGGGTTGAAAGACTGGCCCTCTGTGTTGCATTTGTGGTACACACAAATGACTTTCTTTAGGTTGTCTCTTAAAATTTGTGTGGCTGTGAGTATGTTGGTGTCATGCCCAGTTAAATCACTTCATAGCAAGCCTGGTGACACTAGGCTGTAAGAGAATACAGGCTGTAGAACAGCTGTGAGAGAGTCGAGTTCACACTTTCTCTTTCTTTTCTTTTCTTTCTTTCTTTCTTTTTTTTTTTTTTTTTTTAAAGACAGAGTCTCACTCTGTGACCCTGGGTAGAGTACTATGGGTTCATAGCTGACAGCAATTTCAAACTCTCGGGGCTCAAGTGGTCTTCCTGCCTCAGCCTCTCCAGTAGCTAGGACTACAGGCGCCTGCCACAATGCCCTGCTATACCCCCCACCCCACCCCTATTTTTAGTAGAGACAGGGTCTCACTCTTCCTAAGGCTGGTCTCTGACTCCTGAGTTCAAACAATCTGCCTGCCTTGGCTTTCCAGATGTTAGGATTATAGGCGTGAGCCACTGCTCCAGCCAAGAGTCCACACTTTTAATCATATACAACAGAGGCTTTTGCCTGAAGACGACCTTTTCATCTGCTGGAGTTCAGAAGTTAACCTTGAACTATTATCCTATTGGTGAGAAGCCGATGCATTTCTCCTTTTTGCCACGTAGTCCTTCTCACCTGACCTTTTAAAGATTCTCCAGTGATATCAATGGGGTGGACAAAACTAATCATAAAAACAATGAAGGGAATGTTGCACACTCATAGATCCTTTTGAAATGAACTACAGTGCAGTATGTCTCCCAAATGGACTTCTGTTTTCAATTATTGCGGTAGCCACCCTGTTAAAGATATATAAATTTGGAAGGGTTAATGGGAATTTAGTATGCTCTTGCCACTGGGCAATCCCTTATCAATTGTAGTTTTAGACCTGCCTCTATGCCATTCAAAATTCCTTCTGTGCCCCCCCCCCCCTTTTAGAGACAATCCCACTTTGTCGCCCTTGGTAGAGTGCTGTGGCATAATAGCTCACATCAGCCTCCAATTTCTGGGCTTAGGTGATTCTCTTGCCTTAGCCTCCCAAGCAGCTGGGGGACTATAGGCACCCGCCATAATGCCTGGCTTTTTTTTGTTGCAGTTTGGCTGGGCCAGGTTTGAACCCGCCACCCTTGGTATATGGGGCCAGCACCCTACTCACTGAGCCACAGGCACCGCCCCTTCTGTGCCCTTTTAAAGTCAGTTGGTGTTAGGAGATGATAAATAAATCAGTTGCTTTCCTTTTTCCTCTAGCTCCTTCGAGAACTTATAGAACGAAAGACCAGCTCTTTGGATCCCAATGATCAGGTGGCCATGGGAAGGTAAATTTAGATACGGCTTTCTATTCGTGCATGCGGCCTCTATAATAGTTTCTTTCCTTCAGTCTCCTTAATGTTGCCCCCAAAGCATGATTGTCCCTATAATTATCAAAGTTAAGCAAGATAATAGCTAGAAAGACTATTTACCCTCCATTGCCTTAAGTACAATTTGAAAAGAGATTATAAAATGCCTACGTGGGATTTTTTAAAAGTTTTTCAAATTCCTTTTTATGCTCTTTGCTCTCTAGTTTGAGTTCTTGGGATTGTATCCATATCAGTCTGCTGACCGTGGATTAAAAGCAGCCACCCAAATGTGTGCTCTCAGCTGTCAGAAAATGGCTCTGCACACAACAGGTTCTTTCCTCCTAGTCAAGTCTGCTTTGTTAGAGGCTGCCCTAATTTAGACCTCCACCCCTTCAGTAAAAGCTTCAGCACAATTAGAAATGGAACGTGGCAGCATTACCCAGATGTCAGGGGAGAATGTAAAGTAGTGAAGGAAGGCTCTTGTGTGTATGCTTCATCCTGTAGTGGGAAAATAAAAAGGGCATTTAGAGTGCTACCTAATGAATAGTGTACATTTAAATAGCCATGAGCCATAATTTGCAAAAGCATGAAAGGAAACAAAAGCATCAAGTGCCAGAATGGGATTCTGGGCAGAGCAGCATTTTGAGGAAGCAATGAAAAATTTGTGTTGATGAAATAATTTTATTTGAATAAAATATTATTTGAATTTTAGGGTAGGATTTTGTTGATATGTTGTTTATCTCAGGAATGTTATAGAGAGCTGTTCACTATAAATTTAATGTGATAGAGCAAATTGCATTTAAGTGGTGATTATATTGTACATTTATCTGACTTTACAATAAAATAGATTATGGTAATTAAGATTATATTAAGATTACAGTAATTGGATTTCCTTAGTTTTTTTTTCCTGATGTTGACTTTTTGTTGTATAAATCAGGTAAGATGACTAGATGGTGCTATTGCTGTTTCTTCTTTCTTTTTTTCACATTTGTTCATATGAGCAATTTATGATTTTCTTAGCCTAATGCTCCTTATTAAAAAATTAATTCCTCCGCATGTAGAATGACTGCAGATTATGTGAGTCTTGTTTGGATCCCAATCCAAACAAACTAACTATAAAGTGAGACATTCAGAGAAATTTGAAGACTGGTTGAATATTTGATAGTGAAGAATTTATTGATTTTTTTTTTAAGGTGTAGTGTGTTCAGATTATATTGGAGGAGAGAGTCCTCATCTTTTAGCAACATACTGAAATATTTATAGATGAAATGAAGCTTAAGTGACTATAAAACTAGTATCAGTAGTGGATAATTATTAAGAATTAACAAAAATTAGAAAGTACAAGAAAGGTACTTGGGTATTAGCAGAGGGAAAGTTAGAGTTAAAGAATTTCATGTATTGCAGTCAACCAGCAGTTGCAACATTAGTAATAGAAATGCTGCATAGCAAAAACATTAAAGGAAAACCCAAGCAGCTGTACTCAATTTGGTGGCTTTTCCTGCAGACTGGTGAATTTGTCACAGCAACTCCAAATACTAAGAAGCATTGTTAACCAAATTTGCTGTAGAATTTCCCAGCTGCCATTTGTTTTTTACCATTGCACAAATCCTCTCTAATTGATTAGTCACTTTGGCCCCTAAGTAGCTTGAAGAACTTGATGTAGGTTGATTTCTTTCTTTCTGCAGGGTTGTTAGTGAGAAAAATTCCAATTTGTCAATATGTATAACTCTGTTTGTGATGATGCGTAACATTGCTTGTGAATTTCCCAGGCAGTGGCTTGCAATCCAGAAGTTACGAAGCAAAATCCATAAGAAAGTAGATAGGAAAGCCAGCAAAGGAAGGAAACTTCGGTGAGTTACTTTTTGGGAAATAAATTAACATGATATATTCTATCTCTCTTCTTTTGCATTTTGGCTATTATGTCATTTTTCTTTTTCTTCTGATAACTCTTTTTAAGGATTAGGAAAATAAACAGTATTTGAAGGTTTAAGTTTTTTTTACTCTGAAATGAAAATATAGTTTCTTGACTTTTTGATCTATTGTTGTGAATGCACGGGTGAAATAATATCTATACTTCTTGTAGAATAATATAAAATTTTTATTCTTATTTAGAATAGGGTGACATTGGTCCATTCTTATGACATACATATCCGCAGTATGCTTAAAAGACAGAAATGAAGGACTTCTGAGAATGTTAATGGGGTGCTTAAATAAGATGAGAAATACAGTTTTTATGAGGAAATAGAGAAATTTCTGACTTTGGAAAAACCTTCCATCCTCTGAGATCTTTAAGTAATCTTAGAAGGTTATAGAAAAAGAAGTAGCAAGAGTAGGAATTGACATTACTGTTACTTTTAGACATGAGACCTGTGTGTGTGTATGAAGCACTATCATTACAGAAAGTCTCAGTGTTAAAGAAACAACTTATAACTTAGGTGCCAAGAAAATCTTAAACTTTAGGACAGTTTTAGGCAGATAGCTAATCCCACATCCTAATTAGAGCCTGCTTGTCATTAAATTCCCTTTAGACAAATGTTGGCCTATCTAATTTTTAAAGATCTTCAGAGAAGCCGATTTCACAATTATTTTAATTAATTTATTTTAATATTTAACAGAATTCATCAGAAAGTGCTTTATTTTTCTTAAACTTTGCAGACATATAAGATAGCTTTTCATAATCTTTTTTTTTTTTTTTTTCTTTTGAGACAGAGCCTCAAGCTGTCCTCCTGGGTAGAGTGCTGTGGCATTACAGCTCACAGCAACCTCCAACTCCTGGGCTCAAGCGAGTCTCCTGCCTC